TCCCTCCTTCCACTCGTCTCTTATAGCTTTCTTTGGTCAATCCTGTTCATAGGCGTCAAGTTCATCTAGCCATCTCCTCTGGGCCCACCGCACGAAGAAGGTAAGAAGAAGAAGGAAAGGTAAGAATGTAAGAAAAAGTTTAAGGCGAAACTAAGTTCGCGGGATCCGCTAGTTACAGATTAAAATTAAACTGTCAAACACCAAGCGGTCACCGGTGACCGCAACCTATTGTTCTATAATTGTGTCTACAAAACCGGTACTCGACGAGTTAATCTATCAATCTGACTAAATATTTAAATCATATTTCATAGCACATAATGAATTTGAGCATAACTATTATACATAATCCTAGTCTAAATACGCACATACCTCCTAAACGACTGCACCAAATTGGATAATTCTTTGTCTATTTATTGTCAAGATATTATTTTATTCTATAGAAAGTTTTCACATTTTGAAAAACTGTTAGTTATATACACATATATAAAAGCGAGTTAAGCATTTAGTCAACTAAAGGCGAAATAGATAAATGATATTTGGAACAAATATAGGAAGATATTTTTACCATACCAATAATCCGGGCACTCGTGGGCGGAGTTAAATACTAGGAACAAAGATTCTATGGCCAAACTATGGCATTTTCTTGAGCTCTGTGAGCTTTATCCATATGCTTTTTCAGTTCATGTTTCCTTACGAAATTCGCGGAACATTTTAGACAAGGCAACTTAAATCCTTTATTATGTCTACGTTTAGCATGTTCGGATCTACGTGAAGCTGAAATGAATTTCTCGCCACAATCCTCACATTCATACGGCCTTTCGCCTGTGTGCCTGCGTCTGTGGTATACCGCCGCCATTTTGGATACAAGTTTCGCGCCACAAATGTCACATTCGAAATTTCGAACGCGCGTATGAACGACTGTGTGTTCAGCCAGTCGGGCTGGGGTGTAGAACCTCTTTTCGCACCATTGACATTGATGGGGCCTTATATCCATGTGGATCCAAAGTATATGGTTTTTGAGCTGTGGTCTTGAGTTGTATGTTTTGCCACAGTGGTCGCAGGTAAAGGTGGCTGGGTCTCTGATGTTTGAGCGACGATTGCGAGGCATATCTTGTGTGTTAGGCTTTGCGTCAGGTTCGCATTGAGATCTGTGTTCCCTATAACACCCTCGATTTGTGAATTGGACCCCACAAGCGCGACAAGTCCTAACAGCATGCATTTGCGAATGATTTTCAAAAGACGCGTTTCTAGGGAACGTCCTCCCACAGTCAGTACAAGTCAACGCGCCGGCTTTATGTGCCTTTTTAACGTGTTTTTTCAACTGAGCTTCGGTTGGACATAGAATGGGGCACTGTTTACATAAAAACGTTACTTCATTGTGCACGTTCGTCATATGATCCTTCATATCATTGCCTCGGACGAGAACAGACCCACAAATTAGACACGCTTCCTTATGCCCGCTATTTCGTAAATGCATATTTAAGTAGTAAGGACTTAAAAATCCTTTGCCGCAATCGGGACAACTACATGTAGGTCCAGTTCTGGCCCCTCTAGGTTTCCGGTCCACAGGTTTTTTCCCAACTCGATTTTTAATTCGATTTAAAATAGTTTTCGCGTCAGTTGCGTTATAATCTTTAAACGTTTGGATGGACACGTCTGTAGTTTTAATGATCGCGCAAACTGATTTGATTGGTGGGAATATTGTGTTTGGGAGGGTGCCTAAGTTTATTATGGCTTTCTTCCATATTTTTTCAGAGTTCCTGACGAATATTCGGAATTCTTGTGCGGCGAGGGCTGTACTTGCGCAGGTCACACAGGCCCCGACTGGTGTTAACGGTTCTTCCTTCAGCTGGGAAATAATAAAAATAAATAGTTAGATATTATGTTGATCGAATGTAAACTTAAATTACCTACATACAATTCCGTCAGTAGTATGTTCTTTGCAACCTATTTATTGTCCTTTGATATCCATTACCAATATCTACATTGCATTTGGTTTATGGATCCGTTGGTATATCAAATATGTTTGATCCACAAATTGGCCAATAGGGTAGATGCCTAATTTTTTTTTAATGTCCGTCTGGTAGATTATTCGAAAACATTAGACACGTATTTTTTATTTTCTTACAGAAACGAATACTTTCGACGATATATTGATTTGAAATGTCGCGTGACGTCGGACGGACTAATTAGATTTTTAATTTTCATACCCTGTCATCATCCCGATTCTTTGATTGATATATATAATATCAACCTCAATTCTCAAATTCCTGATCCTCAAGAGGCCGGTAACGCATTTGTAACTCCTCAATCGTTTCGGATCCATTGACGGCACTGATTGCTTACACATCAGGTAATCCGTCTACTAGTTCGCCCGACCTATTCCATAAAAAAATCCCCAAAAGTGATTCCACGGAGAACAAAAAATTAAACTATGAAGATATATTTTAAACATTTTTAATAAGAACATAAAATAGCATACACGTATTCTTTTCATACTGACAAAAAGAAATTTAAATCAACTTAATTAATAAATACAAAATTAAAACTAAATCTTCCTTTACTGGCTGATTAGCTTAGACTAGGGGTGGCTAACAGACTAAAATAATGTTTAAAAAGTTGCAGGAATTTGCCGGATGTAGATTGCTTCCAACCAGCTGATCAGGGGCTTACGTTAAAGTTGCAACACTAGCGCCACTTG